CCGCTCGATCCCCTGCCCCAAACGACAATGACCCGTCTCCTGATTACCTGATGGAGCCCCCGGTTCAAGATCATTTCTCTCCGGAGCACATACTGGAGCCAATTGGTCAAGACCGCAACGAGTCTCCGCCACCTGTGCAACCTCCATAATCGAACTAGTCTCCCCCTGCCGTGAACGGATCCCCCACACAACCGGCGGAATCAGACAATGTCATAGCGCTACAGCGAGGGCGTTGTGCGTACTATGTGTAATGGCCCGCCAAAACACAGACTGAGAACACTGCTGATTTCTGGGATTTGCCACTGGAATGAATGCTTTGCTGAGACTCCCGCATTCTGCTGTGATTTCTAACTTCGTGTGTGTGTGCGTGCCTGCTGGTTTGCGTGCCTGTCTAAGTGCTTGTTGGCTGAGTGTGTGTGTGAACCACAAGGGTACTTGTTGGATGAAAGGCCCCGCAGGGCCGGTACTTACCTATGGCGGTGACTTTGAGGGTTGCAGCGGGGAAAACACTCAAGTAGGGCGGGTAGGCCCACGACACTTAGAGCAGCGGGAAAAATACTCAAGTAGCAGGTAGGCCGGTACCACTCAAGTAGTGGTAGAAGTGTCGGGTACTGGAGGCCGAGCAGAATGTTGGCATTTTTAGAGGCCCAGTAGCAGTAGGTGAGAGGTAGGCCGGTACCGGTCCAAGTAGCCTGAGTCTAGGGCCTCCAGACGATAGCAGAGCCTACAATGATGTTTCCCTCTGAAAGGGAGGAGGTACCGGTTGCTGGGAGGCCGCTCGGCCTATGAAGTCACCGCCCAAGAGGCCAGTACGCCGCTATATCTTCAAGAGGAGCAAGCAGCTCCTCCTCATTTTTGGTACGCAAGGATTGGCAACATGCCGCCGGAGCCAAGCATTGGACTTGGGAACCGCTGCCTGGAGGAGAAGAGAAGCTGGGCGCTCAGCCTGGCTATGGCGAGCAGCCCAGCCTGAGGAGGAGGAAGAAGGGGGCGAAGGAGGAGAGTGGCGAGGTACCTACCTGGCTATGGTGGACACCATCTTCATCACCTTGTTGGGCACTGCATCTGGAAGGCCCCAGTTGGGGTAGTGCCACACCAAGGAAGCTCGAGGCAGAGTCAGGCATGGCGGCAGAGCTGCTTTGGGTTGTCCTTTGGACAGGATGCAGACACATATCTTCTTTGCGTTGTCCTTTGTACAGGAGGGCAGAACCCTTAGTAGTCCGCCATAGCCTAGGCATGAGAGAGGAGGAAGAAGGGGGGAAGCCATAGCTATGGTGGACCTGTTCTTGTGTCAGCGGTAAGAAGGAACTTCGGATATTGATTCTGGGTCATCCACTGATTGTTATTATTATTATTGGAAGAAGAATAAGATTGGTGAAGTGAAGGAGGAGGAAGAAGGTGGAGTGAAGGAGGAGGAAGAAGGTGGAGAGAGAAAGGGGAATTTGTTATTGGTCTTGCTGGTGTACATCTTCTTCTTCTTCTTCTTCTTCTTCTTCTTGTTCTTCTTGTTCTTCTTCTTCTTGTTGTTGTTCTTCTTCTTCCTCTCTTCTTTGGTATCTCTCTCTTTGCAAGTGCTTTCATTTCTTTCGCAATTGGGTGGCAGTCTTTCATTGTGAATTTGCACTTTGGGAATGACCAGGATCGTAACAATTGGTATTGGAGCGAGGTTACTTGCTGGCGAGTGGTGTTAGTCACCCTAACCCTAATTCCGGATTAGGTTAGGGCTAACCTAATCTCAGATTAGGGTTGGAGGTTAGGGTTAAGAGGGGCAGTGAGGTATGTGGATGCTGCCCCCACCTGGTTAGGTCATGTAGGGTCGACATCAGACCTGACCAGGTTGCTTGTGTGATTGAATGGGGTGGCGAGACACAAAGGAGGCTGATTGGAGTAAGCGAGAGGGAGTAGAGAGTGAGAGGTACTTGCCCCTGGAATCTGGACTTCAAGAAGACATTGAGTGACTTTTGGGCTTCCCCTCAAGAGGGAGACTTGATCGGAGGTTGCCATATCTGCATCGAAGAGTTGCAAGTTGCTACTTTGGTCGTCAACATCGACGGAGGATCCGGCGTTGAAACAGGGGTGTAGGGAGGCCCTCTTAGTCATGCTAGGACACTTCGAGTAGTGGTAGCTAGGGGTCAGGAGGACCTATGAGAGAGGGGGGTGAGCCGTTGTTCATCTTTGGAGGCTGGGCCTCACAGGTAAGTGTCGTGTGACTTGGGTATGCCCGTGGGTGGTTGCTTGGTGCTTCATGGCCTGTTGGGGTGTGCTGGTCTCTCTTCCTCTTCTCTGCGGTCTTGGTTGTGTGTGTTAGCATGTGGATTGATTTCTCACCTGATGGATGGATGGATGATGTATCTTGTTCTCAATGACACATCTTTCTACAGTGCACTGTTTTTTTATTCTGAACGGCTGTAGGAGCAGGTAGTTGTCTTTTCCTTTTCGGTACGGTAGAGGCAGTTTGGGACGGGTACACCTTTCTCATTCGTCTTGGTCCAGTGGGACCAGGCCCAATGGGATAGGACCTTTAGGACCCAAATCTGTAGCCGTCAGTACGTTTCTTTGTTGTGCTGAATTTGCAGGACACACGGCCAGTAGGGACATTCCTTTCAAGGGGATCTTGATTGGTCTTACTGCATGTTCTCACATACTGCCCCGCGTTTGGCTCGGCGACAGTCTGCACCCCTCAAAATCTCCATTGCTGCAGTTAGTTTCATTCGGCTGACTTATTCGTGGTACATGTTCCTCGTCAGGTTAAACAAGAGGGGATCTCCAACTAATCTGATCGGACCCGTTCGTTAAGTCAGTCCTCTCTTTGATTTGTTTTTATTTATTTATTTTTATTATTTTGCTGCGTGAATGACATTCTCTAAGTCCAAATGAAATGCCGCTCTGGCTAGGAGTTCTACCTTCTGCTCTTTGTGATCTATTTGTTTTTCTTTTATCTGAATTATCTATGTCCAGTATTGAGACTCGTGCGCAGAAAGCGGAAAGAGAGAGAAGGGAGAGAGAAGGTATTCTTTTTTAGAGTGTGAGGAGGGGTAAGAGGAGCGTTCGTCCAAATGTGAGTAAGGAGCGGGCCCTTCTTGAGGGATCTACTCATCCCCCATCCTCCAGCATGGCAGACATCTCATCTGCCCAATGGCAGGCCATGTTGGACGCAACGAACGAGAGCGAGAAACCGTTCTTTCAGAAACTTTATGAGGACGCAATACACAGGGGGTTGGAGGCAGAAGCAGCCGTAGCGGCCTTGGTTCAACTGCGGACCTTGGAAGATCTCGAGTCGCGTGTGACAGCTCTAGAGCAGCGGAACCAAGAGCTGCAGGCTGAGATCGTCAACCTCAAATAGGCCTAACTGACTGCCCCTCGTCCTCCTAATCCTCGTCCTGCTGCAGTCCCACTCTCTCACCCTAACACAGTCCTCATGCAGAGAGCAAGTGGAACTGTGATGAGCGCAGGAACCGGTGCCAGCTCCTCAAGCGGTAGCGCCAACAGTTATGCACTGGTCCCAGTCCCAAATGCAGGAACATCAGTCCAAAACGCCGCAGCTCTTACTGGCGTACAATACAACGGTCCCATAGTGGACAAGAGGGTGGCCGCATTGTCGTCCAAATACGACGGGAAGGGGGACATCACCTCTTGGATCAGCTCCATGTGCTCATACTTTGAGGTACTGCAAACACCGCAGGAAGACCGAAGCATGATCATGGGCACAAATACTGAGCCCGCCGTACGGAATTTCATAGAACTCCAAGCTGTTAGTGCAGGTTATGAGAGAATTGACCTAACTGAGTGGTGGAAAGTAACTCATGTACGTACTCTTGCGGACCTCCTCATCGCGTAGTATCAAGATAAGCACACTGCACTCAAGGCAAGGCTAAAGCATGAGGCCCTCAAGGGCCCAAAAGTGGAGGACTTCCATGCAGGTTTTGGAGCAACACTTGACTGGTCTGTTCACTACACCAAACCTGGGATGGATTGACGTGTCTTGCATGGATGTAGTAATGGGAGTGGCCACTGAAGACTATGTTTCCCGGCTAGGACTCAAGGACCATTCGACCTGGCGTGAGCTCCTGCCGGATCTAGTCAACCTAGAAGCCAAAGACCTCGCCAGGCGTGCGAAGACACCCACTGCAGGTAAAACTTTACGACGCAAGCGGTACAGAAGCAACAACCATCTTGCCCTGCATGAACATCGGTTAGTTGAGGATCAGTCCTACACGGATGATCTGTCTCTAGATGACGATCTAGAGCCGGACTCCTATATGGGCTGATCTACATCAGCCCTTGAGTCTGACTTTAATGAAGATGAAAAATGTAATGCCTTTAAAAAGACTGCTTCAAGCAAGGGGCCTAACCGTGGTTCGAGTAGGGGAACCATAGCCCACCTTCCCGAGAACGCAAGGACTCCTGAGAAGTCGGAGGATGCTTCCACCAAGCCTTGGGAAACCCTCCACTTAGTCAAAAGGAATGGGAGGGAAGATCCAAACTACGTGTGTGCTTACATTGTCAAAAGCCTGGGCACACTGTGCAGGATTGTTATTGTCTACAGGGAAACTGACAAAGGGTGTAGAAGAGTTATCAACACTCTATACAACAAGGGAAGTTGAACAGTCAGTTGCAGGCCCCTTCCAGGAGCCTGAATCTGATCAACAACCTGCTCTTGAAGCCCGGACTGATGTTGAATCCAAGGCTGCCGCAGTCCAAGTACTTTACACTGAGCCTTGGGAGGAGACTAAGAAGTCAACGTCCACTCTCACCTGGAGCACTGGCTGCAGCTCAAGCAGCAACGCGGTGTTCAAGGGAGTGTAGAACTGATCTTCTTTAAGCTGCGCATTAGCCGCCGATACATCCGCGTGCTTATTGATAATGGCTCAACGACAGCTTCTTTTCTCCTAACGGGATTCGTAAGGCGGGCTTGGGAATGAAGCAAGTGGAATTGCAGAACCCTTGTCAAACCCGTGTAGGCAACCAAGAGGTTGTCACCTCAACACATGTTGTCAAAGGTATGCGCGTCACCTTTGACAAGGATCGCATTGTCACACATGAGCTGAACTTCTACATCTTGGACAAGTGTCCTTTCGACGCGGTCATTGGCTTGGGCTGGTTAAAGGTTCGTTGTCTAAGGACCACGTGGGCGGATACTCAGTTCGTGGTGCGTGATGCAAAGGGGAACAAGCGTATTGTTCCGTTGGACGAGACGCACAAGTCCACAATGACTCTTCTGAGTGCAAACAAGTTCTGCAAATCGGTGCGCAGACACAAGGAAGTTGAGCATGTGCATGTAACCCTTGTAAAGCCCCTCCATGTGCCTTTTACTTTTGCTGCATTTTCTACCTCGGAAAATAATTCTACTTCTACTACCTCTACTTTTGTTCCATCTACTTCTATTGTAAGAAATCAGTCTACTTCTGATCCAGCTACTTCGAAATCGGTTGTAATTACTGTAAATTCTCAATTTGATTTTCTCTCTCCTGATGAGGATGATCCTCTACCGGAAGTCCCAACATACATTCGTCGTCTATTAGATCGATTTCCTGAAGTTCTGGCTGAACCGAGCGTCCGGTCAAACACAAGATCGAGATAATAGGACGAAGTGTTCCTCCAAACGGCTGCGTCTACCGTATGGGGCAAGGCGAGTTGCAGGAGTTGAGGAGACAAATATCCGACATGATTGATCGTGGGTGGATTAAGCCTAGTGAGTCTGAGTTCGGTGCAACTATCCTGTTGGTCCCAAGGAAAGGAGGCAAACTTCGGATGTGTATCGATTGTCATGGTCTAAATCGTATCACCAAAAAGAACGTTTATCCCTTGCCTCGCAGAGATGATCTGCTAGATGTTGCATGTGAGTGCAAGGTCTTCTCCAAGATCAACCTCAAGTCTAGCTACCACCAGATTGAAGTTGATCCGAACGACCAGCACAAAACGGCATTCAAAACACGCGATGGGTTGTACGAATTCATTGTTATGCCCTTCGGTCTTACAAATGCACCAGTCACATTTCAGTGTCTCATGGACAAGGTTCTCTGTCATCAACTCAACAGGTTTGTTGTTGTTTACCTTGACGACATCCTGATTTTCTGCAAGTCCATGGAAGAGCACGTCAAGCACCTTGAGGAAGTCTTGCAGATCCTCAAGGAGGCACAACTGCACCTCAACTTAGAGAAATCTGAGTTTGGAAGGGACAACATCATCTATCTTGGGCACCGGTTGTCTGCAAAAGGCCTTGAGCCGGAGGCAACCAAGTTTGAGGTCATACGAAAGTGGCCTCAACCGGCGAACGTACGCGAACTGCGTTCTTTTCTTGGTTTGACTTCGTATTACCGGAAGTTTGTGCCCAAATTGTTTTGTCATTGCTCACCCACTCTCGAGACTAACACGCAAAAATGTTGCTTATGCGTGGTGTGAGAAATGCGAGACTGCGTTTCAGGCCTTGAAAGAGGCTTTGGTAAGTCATTTTGTGTTCCGCATTGCTGATCCCAACCTCACGTTCGTGGTCATTATGAACGCGAGCCAGTATGGGATTAGTGCAGTGCTGCAACAAGATGATGGCGATGGCCTGCGTCCGCTCGAGTATTACAGAAAACGCATGCCCAGCCACAAGGTAGCTACCTCCACATATATGTGTGAGCTCTATGCCTTATGAGATGTGCTCACACATTGGAAGCACTACCTCTTGGGTCATTACTTCAAGGTTTACTCAGATCATCAGACCTTGCAATGGATTAAAACGCAAATCGATCTCTCTCCGACACTGGCCCGCTGGTTGCATGACATTGATGTTTACAATTTTGAACTGAAACATAAGAAAGGCTGTTATAATCGTGTTGCTGATGCTGTGCCGCGTCATCCAGAGTTTTTGACTTGCCTTGTGAGGTCATATGACCTCCGAAGGAAATTGAAGGAGGATCTGGTTGAACACACTGCCAAGGATCCGAACCTTAGTCCCATCCTTGAGCAGCTCAAGGCTGACCCTAGCAGTCAGCCTGATTTTTTAGGGTCTTGTATTCCGCCGGTATTGGAAGTTGGATCGTTTATGTGTACCCAACCATGCGCCTCTCCGGACTCATTTCTTGGATTTGGCACATGGTCGGAGTGGACACTTCGGCTTTGAGAAGACTTATGAAAGTCTTTTGCAGCAGTTTGATTGGCCGAGAATGAAGGGATCCGCTCATAAGTTTATTGTTGAATGTCAAGTCTGTCAAAGAACAAGGGTCCATAGCCATAAGCCTTATGGCCTGCTGAAACCCCTCCCCATTCCTAATGGACCCAGTGAGTCAATTTCCATCGATTTCACCGACATGGGAAAGGTGAGTGAGGGAGGAAATTCACAAGTCATAATCATCGTGGAACATTTCTCCAAATTTTCGAATTTGATTCCTTTTCCTCCTCATGCCCCAACTGAGCTTGTGATCGAAGAATTTCATCAGCAGTACATTCTGCAGTTTGGCCACCCGAAAACTATTGTGAGTGATCGGGACACCAGGTTCATTAGTAAAGATTGGAAGGATTTCACTTCTCATATCCACGACATTAAATTCAACAAGACTTCCGGTCGACACCTCGAAGCCAATGGATTGGCCGAGGAAATCAACCAGACTGTCATTCAACTACTTCGCGTTAATTGTTCCAGATCAGAACACGTGGGACAAGGAGTTACACAAAGTCAAGGGGGTTGTACAACAACTGCATTCACTCCGCGATTGGCGTGACACCGAATCAGCTGCAATACGGTTGGCAGTTGCGCAATCCACTCTCCTATTTGTTCCCCGACCGGTCACGTGGATTGACGCCCGACATGCTTGGCTACAATGCCAAGTATGCACGCTTGCTCAAAGATGCTATCGCACCAATGAACAAGCCTCGGCATGCCATGATCAAACATGCTAAGAAGTCGCGCAAAGAAGGAAACTTTGAAGAAGGAAGTTATGTTTGGGTAAAAATGTCTGAATTTTCTGACGAAGAGGGCGTATCACGAAAGCTTCTTCCACTGTACTATGGCCCTTGGCAAGTTCTAAAGGTGGTAGGGGATGATTTTGGTCCTTCATATGTGATTGATGTGCCTCCTCATCTGCGCACATATCCGGTCTTTCACACTTCCAAATTGTTTCCACACATCGATGATGAGACTTTTCCCTTCCGAGATCCTATGATACCTTGTGCTACCAACGGTGGCCACGAAATAGACAGAATTGTTTCCCATGAAGGAAGAGGGAGGAACATACAGTACAAGGTTCACTTCCTCTATCACCTGTGGAACAAGTTCTACTGGATCGACTGAAAAGAGTTGCTAAAGATTGCTCCCCGTGTTGTTAACGCTTATGAACTACAGATCGTTGAAGGACAAATTGCTAAGTTGTCTGCAAAACTCACTCCTCACGGTTATACCAAAACTCTCTTTCTAATCTATGCCTATGACGCATTTTGTGCCGACTCGAATGAGTTACTCGCTCGAAGGGACTTCGCTCTTGAGAGGGGGGTAGTGTAATGACCCGCCAAAACATAGACTGAGAACACTGCTGATTTCGGGGATATTCCGTTGGAATGAATGCCTTGTTGAGATTCCCGCATTCTACTGTGATTTCAAAGTCTGTGTGTTTGTGCATGCCCGCTGGTTTGCATGCCTGTCTCAGTGCTTGTCGGTTGGGTGTGTGTGTGACCCGCAAGGGTACTTGTTGGTTGAAAGGCCCCGCAGGGCAGGTGCTTACCTGTGGCTGTGACTTTGAGGGTTGCAGCGGGGAAAACACTCAAGTAGCGGGGGTGGGCCCGCAACACTTAGAGCAGCGGGAAAAACACTCAAGTACCAAGTAGGCCGGTACCACTCAAGTAGTGGTAGAAGTATCGGGTACTGGACGCCGAGCAAAAGAAGATAAAAGTTGGCATTTTTAGAGGCCCAGTAGCGGTAGGTTAGAGGTAGGCCAGTACCAGTCCAAGTAGCCTGAGTCTAGGGCCTGTGTTACATGCTGCGCCTGCACACGAGGGCCATTTTCCAGGCCCTGCGTCCTTCAGGCTAAAAGCCTGAAAACTAAAAATGGCAACAACCTTTTTAGCCTATTCAACCCGAAAGCCTGAAAACAGGGGCTTACAGTCCCTGTGTCGTTTCACACTAAAAATGGCAACAACCTTTTTAGCCTGAAACGAAGGGCCATTTTCGGTCGTTCATCAGAACGACCGGCCCTGAAACTCAGGAACCAAACCAGGGTTTCGGGAACAGGCTATTCTTAGCCTGTTCCCATGCCAGCCTCGACAGATGCTGCAACGCCAGCCCCTGGCACACTTCGGCATTGGCAAGAGCAGCCTCCTCGGCCTGGCTCGCCCTTCAAGCAGTCAGGAGGCAGGCCGAGGTAGTACATAGGGACTTCCCATGCAGTGCATGGGCAGGCAGGAGGCAGTAGTAGTCTTCAGGATTCGGCAGCAGCACTCTGGAGGGAGCGCTGCAGGAGTAGTAGCGTTAGCCTTAGTCTTCAGCGCTGGGCGCAGTAGGTAGCTATAGTCTCCAGCGCTGGGCGCCATAGCTAGGATAGCACTAGAGAGAGAGAGAGATTGGGCGGAGGCCAGAGGTACTTACCTGCAGCACCGTTGCTCCACCTTCGTCTTCGAGGTAGCTGCAGCACAGCGCCAACATCACAGGTTAGTATCTGGCTCGTGACAGAGAGAGAGTTCTTCTTCTTCCTCTTCTCAGTCCACCATCTCCCTCTCACCCTCTCCTTATCTGACTTCACTGCATCTGCAGACTACGAGAGAAGAGTGAGAGAGAGAGCTTGGTGACATTGGACCCAGACTCGACTTTTGCGCTTCAGACATTACGACGAGGGATTATTTGGGACTTGTGACAAAGACTTGGTGTTGACGACATTCCCATCTCTCTCCCTCCTTTCGTCTGGTCCCCTCCTCTTCGTCTGTGTAGTCTGGACCTGGCGCTTTCTTCTTGTGTACAGCGCCAGGCTTCTTCACACCTGGTGATGGATACGATGTTTGTTTGGTCTGCGTTCAAATATTGATTGGGCTAGTCATTAGCATTCTAGCATTCTGCTTCGCTATCTGATACTATGTGAATGAGGTCAGTCCCGATCAGGTCAGGATTTGTATCTAAGTCTTCCCTGTGCTATTCAACACCATTTTGTATGCACATTGCTTGTTGAGATTCTACTTGCACCGCATTGTCCATTCAGTCCTTTTCATCACATTGCGGATCCTCGGTTTCTATGTACATCGCCCAACTGGGCATGTAACAGTTGGTATCGGAACGCCGCACGTGAATCAGGACAACCTGATCYGACACRTGTGCGGGGACTAGGTAGCTGATTAGTCTTTATTGATTGATTAGAGCACACTCGTTAGACCCCAAAATCACGATTTTGACCTTACTACCGAAAATCGATTTTTTTTTTTCTTTCCTTGGATTTTGTCTTCTCGCTATTTTTGTTGTGGAAAATCGTAATAGCGCAACATTTTGAAATTTCCATTTTCGTTTTTCTTCTGAAATTTTGAAATTTCGTTGTTGAAAATCCGGAATATCCTTCTTTTCGAAAATTTCGATTTCCTGTTGCATTTTCCGTTACTTGAAAATTCGGAATATCTTCTTTTTCGAAATTCGTTTTTCTGAAAACAGTACGGGAAATCCCTCCTGCAGGTATTATTTTCCAAACTGCGAATACTCTCATCTGAGTAAGTCCGAATATTTCATTTCTTTTTGGATTTTTTTTTTCGCAGTTCTAGGATTCTGTCAGTCAATTCTATAAATCATTTGCAGTCTGAAGTCGAAATGATGTTTTCTCTCATTGATCATTTCGCACTTCAAGGGAGGTTGGGAGACCTACTGAACTTGCAAAACTCGGGATTTTATTATTTCGATTTTTTTTTTGCAAAGTTCAAACTTTTCTTTTTTGATTAGTGGCTCTTTATCTGAGCGATTCTCCCCACCCACCGTCCCCACCTATGTTGTTGCCCTGTCTGGCCTTACCTTCTCTATCTATCTCCGGGTACCCCCTGCGACGACATTGGTGAGTTGCCACGTCAGCAGGCCACGTCAGCGGACTACGTCAGCAGGACACACCAGCAAACCACGTCAGCAGGACACGTCAGCAGGCCACGTCAACCGACAGAGCAGGAAATGCCACGTCAGCAGGCCCCCGGCCTGGTCTATGCTGTTGTGGTCACATACAGCCATCATGGACCAGAGGTACGGAGAAGCACACGAGGCCTATCAGGCCCGGATGCTGGCTTGGAGTACCGAAACAAAGAAACGGGCGGATGACGCAGCAGCAACAGCGAAGAAGAAGGCAGAGGATGCCGAGCAGGCACGTCTGCTGGCAATTGAACAACAACGCCAGCATGACGAGGCAGCAGCAAGGGCTGCCGATGAAAAAAAAAAACCAACGTCGTGAGAAGATATTTAGCGGAGAGCAGACTTTGCTCACAATGGCAGCGGAATGGCGGACCGAGGCCGAGAATGGCAAGATGGAGGATAGCGAAAACAAGATCGCTCTCCTCCTCTCCCACCTCACAGACCTCCTGGCGACATGCATTACACAATAGGAGGACATCCACAGCCTCGACGACTCGCTGGCTCAAGTCCAAGGCCGCCTTCGGCAGCTGGAGCAGCGACCTGTCACCGCCCCCGACGCCAACTCTTCCAACACCTCCGATCGCCTCGAAGCATTGGAGATGGACGTCGGCTCCCTCAAGGACGACGTGCAGTTACAGCAGACCGCAACGCAACAGTTGGAACAACGGATCTGCACTGCCGCCAACCCCTCGAGTTCGGAACCGCGCGAGACAACTCCAAAGTTTGACGGGCAGGAGATCTTCTGCGACTCGATGAAGACAGATCCGATTCCATGGCTCCGCAAGTTCGAGCTCACGCTGCAGCTACACAACGTCAAAGAACACAAGCACCACGCATACTTATACTCCCGCTCGGGGGGCGCGTGCCAGGCTTGGTTGGACAATCTCTTGTCCAAGTACGGAGTGGTAGCTGGTGACTTGCACACCAAGATCAGCTGGGATGATCTGAAGGCAGCATGGCACAAGTGGTTCCAAGTCGAGCCGCCCGAGATCAAGGCTATGGACAAGCTCATGGTCTTCGAGCAAGGCACGCTGCCGAGTACCGACTGGATTGCCGAGTACCAACGCTTGACATCAGTCCCAGACATCCAAATGGGCTTCAAAGCCATCCGCCACTATTTCATCTCAAGGTCCTGTCCGACATTAAGCAATGCCCTGACTCATGTCGAGGACACCTTGACGACTACGGCGAAACTTTTTGACAAGGCCGCGCAGATTATCATTACGAACAAGGAGGCTAAGATCCTGCGTTCGTCTGCGTCAGGCCCGAGCAGGGACCAACATAGGCCAAGAGTGGTCGTGGTCGCGGGGCAACGTGGTTTGACCAAACCAGCGAGGCTGTGTCTGCCAATGAAGGGGACAGACTCGCAGCCGCCCGGGAAGGTGGTCGCCCCGGCAGAGGCCGAGGACGCGGCAAGATGAAGACACACACCGCATCTAGCCCCGGGCCCGGCGCAGCAGCTCCAGCCCCATGGTCCCAATATGGCATCTTCGAGCAAGCATTCAAGGTGCGCACGAGATTCCACTATTGCCTCTAGTGCAACAGCGATCTCCATGAGACACTGGCCTGCCCATTGAAAGGCAAGGGCAAACAGGGAAACTGAGCACCGCTGAGAGTGACTCGACAACACTCTCTACGCCTCCGGAACCGGTTTCTTCGCGAGTAACCGACCTATATTCCGAGGCGTACGCGAAAGTCGATAGTCCTCCTCTTACTTATTCTTTTGAGGACTATGCTGCTCGGCTCGTTCCTACGCTGGGTACTCAAGCTCAAGGACAAGACGTGTGTGCGGCATTTTCTCCGTTCGGCAACGACGACTTATCGTCTTCAAGTGCTTATTCACGGGATTCGGCGCTCGAGTTCAACATAGAGGTATTGGACCCGCTCACGTCCAAGGACTTTGCATGGCTTCCTCTCCCGACCACAGGCCGCTTGTCGGGACCGCAATGCGCAGCACTATGCGCTCATCTCCACACTTACTTATCCTTCTATGCAACACCAACTTCGCCGACGGATGCCGAAGTCGCAGTGGGGGACATCCTTGCGTATACTACCAAGGTGGCCCGCGAGTTTCGCACGCAGCGGTACGATGACAACAACGCATCGCTCATGTATGTCTGCATCCAGGTTGGGCAAGCGTCCTGTAGCGCTTTGCTGGATAGCGGCGCGTCTCGCAAGTTCATGAGCCAATCCTTTATGCAAAGGGCTGGCCTTGGCGCACAAGTTCGGAGGAAGGCAAACCCGACGGCGATCAAGTTGGCGGATGGGAAAACGCAGCAACTTCTCGACCGATACATCGAGGCCGTACCGATTTATTTCGCACCTCATGCATGCGAACCGGTGACGTTCGACATTCTCGACGGACATCGACATCATTCTGGGAATGCCTTGGCTTGCAAGTGCGGATCACACGGTCAACTTCCACCGGCGGACTTTTAGCGTTCGCGACGCCTTCGGCGCCGAAGTGGCGTGTACTATTCCTCTACCGCACCCTTTGATTCGGTGCCAAGTGGTGACGGCCAAATCATTCCGGGCGACTTGCGCTTAGGAGCAGCCCGAGGAAATCGGCCTATGTTTCCTACGGACCGTCGCGGTAGCCGACTTTTCACCCACGGACTTGTCTTCGGACCCCCGCGTGGTGCGGTTGCTGGACGAGTTCGCCGACATCTTCGAGTCACCTACCGGTGTGGTGCCGGATCGGCCGATCTCTCACGAGATCATTCTTGAGGCCGGTGTCATGCCGCCGGAAGGTTGCATCTATCGGATGAGCGAGGAGGAGCTTGAGGTCCTCCGCGCACAACTCGATGACTCGTTGGCCAAGGGCTGATCCGCCCTAGTAGCTCCCCATATGGAGCACCGGTTCTCTTCGTCCGGAAAAAGAACAAAGATCTACGATTATGTATCGACTACCGCAAGCTCAAGGCGCAAACCGTCAAGAATGCGGGCCCTCTCCCTCGCATCGACGATCTTCTTGAGCGATTGGGCGACGCAAAGTATTTTTCTAAGTTGGATTTGAAATCGGGATATCATCAAATCTCGATCCGGCCGAATGATCGCTATAAATCCGCGTTCAAGACACGGTACGGACATTTTGAGTGGGTGGTCATGCCTTTTGGCCTCACCAACGCCCCGACGACCTTTCAAGCGGCAATGACCAATGAGTTTCGTGCAATGTTGGACCGGTTCGTGCTGGTCTACTTAGACGATATTCTCGTCTATAGCCGGTCATTGGAGGATCATCTTGGGCATCTTCGACGAGTGTTGGAGACGCTCCGCCGCGCCAAGTACAAGGCCAACCGCGACAAGTGCGAATTTGTTCGACAAGAGCCGGAATACTTGGGCCATTTTGTCACACCGGAGGGCATCAGTCTGCTATCGGACAAGATTCAAGCCATCCAAGAGTGGTCGGAGCCTCGGAACGTTACGGATGTCCGCTCGTTCCTTGGTCTCGCCTGCTACTATCAGCGTTTCATCAAAGGCTACTCGAAGATCGCGGCCCACTTGACCAAGCTTCAATGCGAGGATCGGCCGTTTGACTTCGGAGAGGATGCGCGGGAATCATTTTTGGCTCTCAAAGCCGCGCTATTATCTGCGGAGGTCTTGCGCAGTTACTGTAACGAGCGCAGAGGCAGAGGACGAGGAGGGAGTTGAGGGAGAGAGAGAGTGAAAGCACACACACACACTCACTCACTCACGCGACTGAACTCGACCGGACGCAAACCAGGGGCTGAGGCACAAAGTCGAAGTCTTGGTTTCGAAGGCCCAAACAGCAAGTCACACTGAGTACGAGTACAGCAGCAGAAAACTGGTACGAGACTGGTCCCCGTACCGTACGGGGAGCCGGTATAAGTACCGGTGACACGTACGGTACCTGGGGCATTTCTGCAAAGGCCCCGAGGGCAGAACTGAAAAATGTGGTATTTGAAAGTGGCCCCCGAATTGCAGCATGGCGCCAGTTGTCCAAAATCCTACGGTACCAAAGGAGGGGTTTGGAAAAAAGGGTGCCAGGCCGAAAACGGGATGCAGCCGAAACAACAAAAAGATAGACCAGGGATCGAGCCCTGGCGGAGTCCGTAACATTTATGACCCGCTTTTGCCTACGTGCGTCACTACGGATGCGTCCGGCTATGGCATTGGTGCCGTCCTCGAGCAACATGATGGTGTGGACTGGCACCCGGTCGAGTACTTCAGCAAGAAAGTGCCCGTTGTGCATTCCATTGACGATGCACGCAAGAAGGAGCTCCTCGCCTTTGTCCACGAGCTCAAGCGGTGGCGGCATTTCCTCCTTGGTCGAAGCCAATTCCGATGGGTAACGGACAACAATCCGTTGGTCTTTTACAAGACCCAAGACACCGTCATGGGGACGCACCTGAGGGACCTTCCTTCACGATTCAGGTGCCCGCCCACTTGCCCGTTTACCCAGTCTTTCATTGCTCCAAGTTGGCTCTTTACACGCGAGCAGAACATGACGATTTTCCCGGGAGACGTTCGCAAGACCCACCCTCTATGGACGGTTTCCAGGAGGTCGGCGACATCATCTCCCAGCGACGCTACGACAACAGGCCAACCGAGTATTTGGTGCATTTTGCATACTGCATACACCGAGCTGACCATTGGTTGACCCGTGCGGAACTCAAGCAACAGCTCCAGACGTTCTCACACGCTATGAACGCACGATGCAAGTCAAGCTGGTCTCTTCGGCTCCACGCCGCGCCCGCGTCCAGGTTCCACCTTCAGATCGTCGCCCCGGCTTAACTTCATAAGGAGGGGGGGGGTGTTACATGCTGCGCCTGCACACGAGGGCCATTTTCCAGGCCCTGCGTCCTTCAGGCTGAAAGCCTGAAAACCAAGGCCTACAGGCCCTGTGACTGTTCAGCCCGAAAGCCTGAAAACAGGGGCCTACAGTCCCTGTGTCGTTTCAGACTAAAAAATGGCGACAGCCTTTTTAGCCTGAAACGAAGGGCCATTTTCGGTCGTTCATCAGGACGACCGGCCCTGAAACTCAGGCACCGAACCAGGGTTTCTGGAACAGGCTATTCTTAGCCTGTTCCCACGCCAGCCTCAGAAGATGCTGCAGCGCCAGCCCCTGGCACACTTCGGCATTGGCAAGAGCAGCCTCCTCGGCCTGGCTCGCCCTTCAGGCAGTCAGGAGGCAGGCCGAGGTAGTACATAGGGGTTTCACATGCACTTCACAGGCAGGCAGGAGGCACTAGTAGTCTTCAGGATTCGGCAGCAGCACTCTGGAGGGAGCGCTGCAGGAGTAGTAGTAGCGTTAGCCTTAGTCTTCAGCGCTGGGCGCAGTAGGTAGCTGTAGTCTCCAGCGCTGGGTGCCATAGCTAGGATAGCACTAGAGAGAGAGAGAGATTGGGCGGAGGCCAGAGGTACTTACCTGCAGCGCCGTTGCGCCAGCTTCGTCTTCGACTTAGCTGCAGCACAGCGCTAACATCACAGGTTAGTATCTGGCTCGTGACAGAGAGAGAGTTCTTCTTCTTCCTCTTCTCAGTCCACCATCTCCCTCTCACCCTCTCCTCATCTGACTTCACTGCATCTGCAGACTACGAGAGAAGAGTGAGAGAGAGAGCTTGGTGACATTGGATCCAGGCTCGACTTTTGGGCTTCAGACATTACGACGAGGGATTATTTGGGACTTGTGACAAAGACTTGATGTTGACGACATTCCCATCTCTCTCCCTCCTTTCGTCTGGTCCCCTCCTCTTCGTCTGTGTATGTCTGGACCTGGCGCTTTCTTCCTGTGTACAGTGCCAGGCTCCTTCACACCTGGTGATGGATACAATGTATCTTTGGTCTGCGTTCAAACATTGATTGGGTTAGTCATTAGCATTCTAGCATTCTGCTTCGCTATCTGATATTATGTGAATGAGGTCAGTCCCGGTCAGGTCAGGATTTGTATCTAAGTCTTCCCTGCGCTATTCAGCACCATTTTGTATGCACATTGCTTGTTGAGATTCTACTTGCACTGCATTGTCCATTCAGTCCTTTTCATCACATTGCGGATCCTCGGTTTCTATGTACATCGCCCAACTGGGCATGTAACAGCCTGTCATGACGATAGCAGAGCCTACAATGATATTTCCCTCTGAAAGGGAGGAGGTACCGGTNTCTATGTACATCGCCCAACTGGGCATGTAACAGCCTGTCATGACGATAGCAGAGCCTACAATGATATTTCCCTCTGAAAGGGAGGAGGTACCGGTTGCTGGGAGGCCGCTCGGCCTAGGACATCGCCCAAGAGGCCAGTAGGCCGCTATATCTTCAGGAGGAGCAAGCAGCTCCTCCTCATTTGCAGTATGCAAGGATTGGCGACATGCTGCTGGAGCCAAGCGCTGGACTTGGGAAGCGCTGCCTGGAGGAGAAGAGCAGCTGGGCTCCATGCCTGACGCTGCCTCGAGCTTCCTTGGTGTGGCACTACCCCAACTGGGGCCTTCCAGATGCAGCGCCCAACAAGGTGATGAAGATGGTGTCCACCAATGCCACCATAGCCAGGTAGGTACCTCGCCACTCTCCTCCTTCGCACCCTTCTTCCTACTCCTCAGGCTGGGCTATCTCCTTGCTTACAATTGTAATCATTATACTGTTTCTGATTTCACAGACGTTGTTCGCTGGATAGAAGAAGAGCACCGTGCCATCTGCCCAGAGGACGACAGAGCTGCACCTGGTGTGAACATATTAGTCCTGGCTATGGCATTTATGGGTAGGCGACTGCAATTTGAGCCTGCTCCGCAAAACCACGTGCCAATCAGGGATCCGAATATTCGGGCATATATCTTATATCGTCCAGGTCATTTCAGTGCTCTTACCTTTGCAGATAATTCATGGACCCTATGGGACAATGGCTGTAGGGTGCACACAGTGGGATATATCAACTCTTTCTATCACCAAATGCTGGAGGATCACTCAGTCTGGCTCGTCCATCAGGAACAGTGTGTCGATGAGCACTTGCAAGCACTGCACCCCCCGGAGAGCAATCTGGCTGATTCTACCACAAACAGTGAAAGGACCTCTCCACATAGTGATGGCTGTGCCTTCCCTTTGTGTTGTCGCACATGTGCAATTCGGTTGGCATGTACACGACATAGCCTCTGCTCTGGACACTATGAAGGGATGGTCGCTGCTAGCCTCTCACAGGAAAATTGCGATCCCCTGTCCTGCGCTCATCCCCCCGACCCCCTGATTACTTTCCCAGCATGCCGTTGTTGGCCTTGATCTGCCATGCTTAATTCACTGTGCACGTCAGCCTTCCATACTAATGACATGTCAGCAACATGCCATGTGTCGTCAATGCTTCCAGGAAGCTGTCATAGAAAGTATGTGTCTTTACTGCGTGGACTATCCCCGGTGCCATCACCCTCCACATCCTCTCCTAGCATGTCCCACATGTGGTGTTGGTCATACACCTACGGCAACTGCTGACGGATCTCCCTCTTTCTTGCCAGACGTTCGACGGACACAGCAGTCCGAGGAGGAAAATAGACTTCTATATGAACCACCGGCAGAGCGATGTGCTCATAGTTTATCACCACCAGGGCGAGCTGTTGCGGACCAGATCCTGCAGCAGCTGAACGCCCTTGCTTTGGACCGATCCTCCCTGTCGTCGTCTGTCCATAGAGAAGGAATAAATACTGAGGAAGCCCAAGAAAGATGCTCCATGCCGCTTTGTGATGACACGCCATAGATTCAACTAGCATGTGGTTACATGCCTTGTGCTGTGAGGATTATGAAGGGATGGTCCATGCGAGTTTTTGCCTCCATACGTACGACGACAGTCAGTACTGTACTCATGTATGCACCCTGACATGTCATATCCAATTTGTAGACAGGGGCTGGAACGGCAATGCCTCTATAATTGCGGTCGACGTGCCTCTGTATTCCTAGCATGTAGGAGTCACGTAGCCTGTGACATCTGTCTGCGCCGTGCCATTCGATGCAGCAACTGTGACTGCGAAAATTGGATGTGGTGCTTCCATAGCCCACACCCGAACCAGCCCTGTCTGGTCCGTAGGGGTGGCCACTTGCCATAGGCATTAACTGCTCCTCAACCCACCTGTTTTTTTTTTGTTTTTTTTTTGGTGCAACCCTGTGCCATGCTAAAGTAGTCTGTTTCAGCGGTGAATATTTAGATTCTGCGAAGCTCGTCACACCTCTCCCCTGCTCTTTGCATTTCATACTCTATCCTGTCCTTGACATATTTCTTTCCTTCCGTTTGCCCCCACCTCCCCTGCCCCATACTCCTATTGAACTCCGCCTTCTATCCCTTTCCCTCCACCCTCCCCTCCACTCCCTTTGTGCTACTAACAAATACATACAAATGAGCATCATTAAGAGAACAAACGATATGAAGATCAGAAATGAAATTAACGGAAGTATGAAGATGAAGGACAGACACAAAGACTGTATAAGCTGAAGATCTGAAGTGAAATGAGCAGGAGTATGAAGCTCTGAAGAGAAATGCACAGGAGCATACCTTTCCTTTTCTCTGACTCCTGAAATAACATGCAGGTGGGCCGTGAAGGCACATGGGAATGTGTGCAGCTGCCGCTCAACCACAATCAACGTGGGCATTTGAGATGTCCTCTGATGTCTACAGGTGATGAGGGCCTTCTGCCCAGCGATTGAGATGTGGTGATTCTGCCAGCAGGTAAGTTCCCTTTAACCCAGCTTCCGCTGTCCTCTACTCTGCTACTCCCTAGCGCTGATGTCTGACTCCTCTGGTGCTGCTCCTGAAGCAGCACCCTCATCCTCAAAACATTGCCTATCCCAGATGGAGGCTGCCCTCGCTATATATAACGCTGGGCCTACTGGATCCTGCACCGTTCTGCATCCTGGGCCGTTCGATCGAAATGCCGATCAACGATCCAGGATGCAGGCCCAAATCCTGGTCCTCTTGTCCTGGCCTCAAACTGGCCTGCCTGGCTCCCAACCGGACGTCCAGGCACCTCTGCTGAAACAACAGAGGTGTCCTCACAAGTGGACACAAATGTGGGTGAGCTGGGAATACTGAAACGGAACAGACAAAATGAACTCAGGGTAGACAAAAGACTGAGAACACAACAAAAATGACCTCAGACAAATGTAGCCGACCCAAGAAAACAAGAAAACACCCCCAACTTCTACTCCATGACCCTTAACCCAAAGGCGGGTGCTGGATGGGCCGTGTGGAAGCAGTCCATACCACAGGTTTGCACAGGTCATTCTGATTCTGTCAGTGTATGCTTAGAGTCTGAATTATGTGGTCGGCACTGGTCTCAACATTATGCTTCATTCAGAGGCTGAACTAGCTTGTATCTTGTCATACAGTGTAAATCATCTGATTGAATCTCGATGACTATTCAGGATGGGTTGCATGTGTGAGTAGACTTAGAATTGTCTTGTGCTGCATTGGTCTTTGAGATTGCTTTGGAGTAACTATGTGGTCAGGCAGCTTCAGTTGTCGGCTGTGGACAAGCTAACGGGAGATTTTTGGTATAATCTGTGATGGTTCATGCAGGAGCTCATTGAGAGTGTCATCCCTTTTGACGTGCTTCTTGACCGTAATCGACGGACCTTGAGGACTGCTGCAACTGCGCTGGTGTGTTCCCAGCCAGCGGATCTGAGAAGTGGAAGATTTATGCACAGCGCTGGAATAGCTCTTGCATCTTTAAGCCGTTGTGAAGATGCCCTCGCCAGAGAGCTCCTGCTTACCACCCCGTAAGGAAATCACACCATGAATCTGGCCGTGCTTTCCTCGCAATCATTCTGGAGTGTTGGAATGAACTGTCAGACTCTTTGCGCTAATTGGTGGCACTATGTAGAGAGCTCTGTGATGAGCAACCATCTCGTGCGGTTCACAGAGCACTTGTTATGACCATCTAGACTCGACACTGTGAGCCTAGCAGTGAAACTCTAGACACTATTTCTGTTCTAATGAGGGTAACTGGCATTCAAGGCCATCCAAAAGGACCCTCACATTTCCCCCCCCTGGAGCAGCGTTCGGGTTTGGCCTAACACTTTTTTTTTTTTTTTTTCAATTGTGGACCACCTTTTGATTGAGCGACCACACACACACACACACACACACACACATTTCCTCTCCTTTCCCTTGTGTACACCCTCTCCTTGTGCACTATTCATAAACGCATACGAATGAGCGTCACTAAGAGAACAGACAAAATACCAGTCACCCCTGTTACTCTGCCTCCTTTCATTACGTGCAAGTGGGCCGTTAAGGCACACGGGGATGTGGGCAGCTGGCGCTTAACCATCATCAATGTGGCCAGCCTTGTACGTGAGAGGCACGGTAAGAGGGGTGTGTAAGAACAAATAAACTGGGAGGCCTCTCGAGTCTCAACGATAAAAATGATATAATCAAGAAAATGACATAATTGTATTAATTGATCTATTGTCTATCATATCTTACTATGGAAGCAACACTGTTTCCATGCTGGATTGATTCATCTCAAGCATGCTTCATCCTCAACAATAGAGGTAAAGTTGCTGCGATTTTGGATCTACTTATCTGGGTGGAACAGGGGATGTTGTGGTGAACATTTACAACACACACA